TACACAATTTCTCACTTGTTGGCTCAAAACCTCCTTTCACTAAACATTGACAATTTTCTAAACACGCCTCTGTCCCAGCTATACACTCATCACTTGGGGCAGTTTTTCCACTCAAACATTCGTTTGTAATACAAAAGTGGTTTTTAAGTGCTCTCCCTTCCGTGCAATGACAATACTGGTCACATCCGGGGGCTCCAAAATAGCACAAATTAGTGTTGTCGGTTTGCCAAACTTTGTTGTAATAACACAATTTGTGACAATCGTCTCCTCCATACCCTGGGTTACAAACACACTTTTTTTCACTAACAACACATGTTCCTCTGGCTCCATTTGTGTCATTTTCACCGCAGTGGTCTGGACATATCACAGAAATGCGCAACTCAACAGAGGCTGTTTGGTCCGTTGAGATCATGGCAAAGTGCCTTTTGTTTGGGCTTCCCCCGATTTTTAACATAACACCCAAATTTTGACTTTCTGCCAATACACCATAACGCTGTCCTGTCCAAAGATAAACACATTCATTATTTTGTGAACCATCTTCGTTTTCAGTCGACTTATATTCTTGAAGCAAATTGATTCTATTTGATTTAGTCCCATCAATCAACAAAGAGTAGTTCCCGTCGTATTCCAATGTAAACAAAATACACTTGTACATTCTGGTCTGGAAACATACCGGGTATGCAAAGTATCCTTCAGCTTCAAACGGAAATGAAATCTCGAGGGCAGTGCCCAAATTCTCATGAAGTTTGTTTACAATTTCCTGGTCAATTTCAATGAAAGGTTTGGCATCTTTTCCAATATTACTGCCCACCTCAACCTCTATTTTCACATCACATATTTGTGAAACGGAGACGAACACATAATAGTAAAACTTTTCGCCATTTTCAATTTTTGGTGGACGTACTTTTGGTACTTTAATTTCTCTTCCATTGTAAGTGTAATTCATCGAGGTGTATGAGATGCAGGTTGCTTTTGGTGAACTTCTTGGGGAGTTTGTTATATCAATGATTAAGTTGTTTTCACATGAAGATGTTTTATACACTGATAATTTCACTACATCAGTCGTTAAATTGTCCATGTCATACTTAAACCACTTACCAATACGATATTTCTGTTTGTTGTAGCAGAAAGAATAATCTACATCACTGTTTTGATTTAAATTAAATTCAACCTTTTCTTTGAAAAACAATTCTTGTATGTTGTCTTCTTCGGGTAGCCAAGATGTTTTTTGGACTCTGTTTGTTGACTTGATACAATCGTTGTCATTGTTGATAAAAACAGGCTTGGATGTGTTTACAGTGTCTATCATCGAACAATGCAAACATGAATTATCTTGGTCATAATTATCAGAGCACGATCTCTTACATGTGTAGTCTGAGATGCACCCCGAACTACAACCTTTTGAACATTCTGTTGCAACAGATTGTGACGGCACAATGAGTAACAATAAGCAAGCAAACATTTTATGTTTTGAAAGATCAATTCTTTTTTAAATAACATGGGTGGTGCCAAGTTAGTGAACAAAACCATCCACTTTTCCACAAAAACTAATCGCGGTTATGACTGAAGGTGTATAAGCATAACCAAATTTGGAAAAACCCATTGTTCCAAATTAAAGATTTCTTGTACTATATGGTCATTCTTACATTGATGTTTTGCTTGCTTTAATGAAAGGGTCTTTTTTCCAAAATGAAATAGCTTAAAGGGAAAGATCCCAACCATTCTCAAATCTTTTTGAATTTATAAATATCAAAAAATGTTTTTATAGATAAAAAGGGTGTTTTTCAAATGAAAAAGCCCAAAACCCGTATGATAAATGGGATTTAACTCCCTATGACGAATTTAAAAAATAGTATATATTTCAAAAATGTATTGAAAACAATAAAATGGGATTTTATAAAGATGTTCTAAATTTACAATTATTTACATTTTTAAAAGCATTAACGAACCCTAAAACGCGACTTTTATGAATAATTGTTTGAAATTTGTTACAGTTTTGTTTTATTATTGGACTTAAAATTTCTTTCTTAATAATATTTATAAATAATTAAAATATTTAACTTCCTGGAACAGACGAATTTAATTAAATTTTGTATTTAGGGATAATTTTGAACTGGTATTTAAAAAACAACAAAATATTAACTAAAACCATAGTTTACGATTTGGTATAAAACTTTTTAACAATAAATGTATTTATTTTACATCGATATTTGGGTAAAAGGCGAGAAGAAAAATCGAAATGTAGTATTCAGTCCAAGAAAAAAAGTTACATATTAATAATACTAATCGTTTTTTTTTCTAAAAATCAAAAATCGAAAAATAGTTACAATTGGCAGCCACCTGCAAAAATACAAGAACTGTATCAATAAATGGAGACGTAATTAAATTTCTGGAATGTTTTCTATTTTTATTATCCAGTTTCTTTTAATAAATTCATTAATTTTAAAACTTGAATTTAAAAAAAATATTAATTGTCAAATTATTTATTTAACTATACATTGAATTATATTTATTAAAAGTATTATTCTTGTTTTCGATTGGTTGAATATTGCCTGATAGTTTTTTTAATTGCAAATGAAAAAAATAATGATTGTTATTAATTATAATTTTGTAAGGTTAATAAACCGAGGTGTTTTGAATGAGAAAACTGTGGGTACACAGTT